ATTGAAATTAAAATTACTAATTATATAACAATAGCATGGGCGTTTGAAGGTGGAGTTTTCATAATTTTATGCCCCTTTAAATGTTTTTTTTATCTATTAGGCTCATTCCACGTGAAACGTGACAGGTCAATTTGGGTCAAATCTCAGAATCAATCGAAACTTTTTTTTTCGATAGAGGATTGAAATATAAGGATCGGTTTTTATTTTCTTTTTTTTAACTCTTACCGTTTATTTTTAAAAAATATTTTTGTAAATTAGCTCCGATTTTTCAGTTATGCAGCACTTGAGACTCGTTTGAGTTATTTTAATATTTGGTATGCAACTTTGTGGGATATGTTCATGTCTTTCAGAAAAATAATTTTAAAAATTTTTAATTTTAAAATTAAGTATTTTTTAACAGAATTTAAATTTTAAAAAATTCTGTACGCCGGAATACACGCGGTTTCCGAATAAAAAAATTATCCTCATATTGCTTCATCAATTCTTCACGAAGTGGTAAAATAAAATTTCTGTATTTGCAAGTTCTACTAGTAAAGACAACGATTTTAGTTTAGCAACTTTGCATCAAGCAACAACAGCGCAACGTGTAACGTGTAACGTTCTTCGAAAAAAAAATCGAAAAAAAAAGTTTCGATTGATTCTGAGATTTGACCCAAATTGACCTGTCACGTTTCACGTGGAATGAGCCATTATGGAAAAGTATAGGTATAATTAAAAAATTTAATGAATTTTCGCAGTCTTTTCGATAAATATAAGCTGTTTATAAATTTTTTTAATTTTTTAGTAATAGCATATAGAATGCATAGAATACATAACCAATATAACCCTGCAATTGAAATTCACAGTACATATTTGTAAGCCAAATTAAGTTTGCCCAACCGATAATTTGGTATCTTAACTTTGAGTTTGCATCTTGTTAAGCAGCTTTCATTGTGAAAGGCGATCGCGATCCTTTCAACGCTTTTTGGAAGGGATATTCATGTAAGAGGGCTTCGTGCCTGCTTATCCTCGCCGCCATTAAATTCATTAAAAGTGCATCAAAACGTATCAGCAGAGGTCGCGTAATTTGCCTGTAATCCATCAGCGTGTCGCCATTGACACCCGAGGGCCCTTCACTCGACGGGTAATTTTTAAAGGTTTTATATATACGAGAAAAATATGAATTACAATGTGCGCCCCAACATGTTAATAAGATGAAGTACGTGAATATGCACTTCGGACTGCAGACTGGCAAATTCAATTAGGCGGGACGAACCGAGACAGTCATGTGCGATAAGTGGCCGCCACAAAAGCCGCAAAAGCGGTCTATATCCTAGTGTATAGCTTATCCCTTATCCCGATCTGCGGTTGAAGTTGAATTTGCAGTTGGTATTACAGTTGCAGCTGCAGATTCATTGTGTGCGAAACGAGCAAGAATGCGTAATTTAATAAACTCATGAGGGCAACTAGGAGCAGGTTCAGGATATTTGCGACAACGCCTGCCAGCAATTCGGGCGAAAACTAGTCGGAGCAACTTTAATCCCGCCTCGCATTTGCGTAATAAAAGTTTCAACTTTATTGTTAATTAAATGGCCAGGACATGTCGGGGTCGCAGTCCTTAGGCCTTTCGACAACGCAGCTGCCTCTTTGGCCACGTCTATCAATGTAAACGTGATCTGGCCATAGCCCGAAAGTGTGGAAATTATAATAAATTTAGCCGCATTTGGCCCGCAGTTTCTGCCGTTTCGGCCATAATTATGCGGACACCTTGCCAGCCTTTCGATCTCCAGCGAGCTGCAATTGCATATTGCCATATTGACAGCGTGATGGATGTTTGGATCCCAACTTCGTAGTTTTGCGCCGCGTCGGAATCGATTGAGCTGCTCGTGCTGCAAAAGGAGCCTTTGCATATATGGAGGAATTAAGCACTACAAGAAAATTGTTGGTTAGCTACCAAAAATACAACTCAAATAATTTGTAACCTTCTCAAAATGTAATCCAACATTTTTTCAATCCATTTTCTGGCACCTGCTATTTTTAAAATATTCTTAAATATTCCCAAATGCTGATTTAAAAATTGGGGATTTATAATATAAATATTTAGAGAATATTTTGATTATAACCTTTTATATCTGAATCTTATTATTTTAATCTTGATTATTTCTCTCAATTTTCCGGCACCTATTTCTTTTTCAATTTTGTCTGAAATATTCCCAAATTCTGATTTACATATCTTGTATACTAAAAAGGATTTTAATTATACAAATTTAAGAGAATATAAAGGCAGAATATTTTTAAAATTAGTATTAAAAATAAGCCCTTTATAACATTAATTAAATTTATCCATTCATAAAATTCTAAAAATATAGTTACATTTTTAAAAAATTGCCATATAAAATAGTTTTAATATTTATATATAGTCAGACCTTTAACTCCACTTTTTCGGCAATAAATGCTGAGGATTTACCCAATAAATTATGGTGCTACTTTAAGTATCCTTTTTTGTCGAGTGCAAATACTGCCACGGGTGGTCCGCCGTCAAGTGGCTGGACATTAAGATTCGTCCGGCGACTACCGTTGGCCATTTAAGACAATAAATTTCATAAATAGCTTATGCATAAAATGCAGTCTGCCCTCCTCACTGCCACTCCACCACTCGGCCACTCCATTCGAATTTCGAACGTGGCTCTCGACTCCCGCTGCGTTGATATTAATTGGACGACATAATTGCGGGGCCACGTTGGCCATAATAATGCGGAGTGCGGTTCGTGGGGTAATTGCTCTGGAAACACGTTCCACTGGCAGCACTCCCCAATACCAATCGCAGGCAGCGAACTACTGGAGTTGGAATTTGTATAAATTTGGCTAACTCTGAGAGGGTCCTCTGCTGTAATTATGGGTTTGTGGCACTCAGCTTTTGCACCGCTGCCTTTTTGGCGGCACATACTTGAAATTATCGGTGTGTGTCCGCCTTTAATTTATTGTCTTTGGCGCTGCCCTAAATCCAATTGTAATACAATACGCGGCATTTATCATATTTAAGTACCGACTCCAAACGCACACACATCCTGTATTTACGGCCTGCTAATACGCGGTTTAAGTTTAATGAGTGCAAAGAGGGGCAAGAGGGGCAAACTAAGAAAAATTTGCAAAAAAAGGTAAAAAATTTTATAAATTTCAATAAATAACAAATTTGTATTTACATAATTTTAAAAATTATTTCAACATTTTAAATAAGATTTTTTTGTTCAGGTCCTTATACTAAGGTCTTGTTTGCTCATCATCAGGCTGAGATTGGTTCGAAACCAGCCAGGACATTGTTATGATTATAAATATTTATTTTATGCGCTGCTCAGCTCGAGGCTTTTCTCTCCACTCCTCGATGTGAAAATCGGTTAAATGGACTGTGCTGTTTATTTTTTCGTAGTCCCTTAATAAGCCCCATGAAAAATGGGCGAATAAATGAGAGCGTCTGGGGGAGGCTGATTCCTGGAGGACATAAAACATGTGTGGCATGTGTGGAAGGGTGGGCCCAAAAAGAAAATGGCGCTGAGCCAAAGATATGGAAGAAGATAAAGACAGAGTCGAAGGAGCAGCGAGAACAGAAAACATGTCCAGGAGAAATTGCGCACAATTACGGGGCAGAAACGGACTGTACTTCAACCCCCCCGGCCACCGCCACCCCCCGCGCGCCTTATCCAAGCGGAAAAGAATTATTACGTTGAATTTTCCCCCAAAAAACGCAAAGGAAAAGAAAACGAAGCGAAAGAATTCTCATTTTTTGATAGCCCACCAGGAGGATGCCGCAAGGATGCACGTAGAAAAAATAATCCAGAGCATTGTAACTATAAATATTTTTTAGCTATTAAATAGATGATTACGAAGGTTATAGGCAATTTATAATTACATTTTAACCTGAGAATAAATAAATAAACTAGATGATTACCCTGATATGTATGTTAAGTATATGTTAAAATTACGATTAAATATAATTTTTTTTTAGTTATTAACCGAATTACTTTATGGTTTGTTCATGTGAAATGATATAAATAAAATAAAGTGTTTTAAAATCAAACATTATTTACAACATATTCTAAATATTTATTAAATGCTTACAAGTCCCTGAAAATATCCCACGAATAATATTTAATTTCTTTAGCATTTTTCTCCGTGTCCCCAAGGATGTGCCAGCCACATCGCTTGGCTCACGTGCATATGACAGTGGAGTAAACAATTTCATTTCGCGCAGCAGGACCCACAAGATAACTGCTACAAACGAGACGCAAGATGCTGCAGTAGCGTAGGGTGAGGGGTTGGGAGTGGTATCCTGAAAAGCAAGGACAACGACAGCACTTGAGTTCTGTTTTCGAAGCCGAGCAAGAACAACAACCACCGGCAGCAGCAGCAGCAGCATAAGATGTTGCGTAAATATATTGTCCTGTCGCTTATTTTTATGGGGGTTTTCTTTTTCGAGGATTGGGGGTTCGGAACGAAGGACGAAGGACTCGCGGACTGCGGTCGGCCGGGACCAATTCGAAACTCAACTGCCAGCGCCGTGGGCGTTTGGACGCAGTTAGTCGAGCGTGCCTGGCGGATTTTTTAATGCGTGCCTCTATAAATTTTGCACGCCTTTTGTAAATGTGAAGACCAAAGAGTAAACTCCTGCAGGAGGAGTGGATTTTCATAACGCGAGGAGGAGTGAGTCGTGAGTCGTGGGCAGCTGTACACGTGGCCTGACCAGTTTTTTTTTCAGAAACTGTCAAATTGTTGTTACTGTACCATTCTCCTTCGCTCTGGGGGTTTGTCTCTGTTTACGAAAATCATGTATATTTGTCATACGAAATGTTTATCCACAATATTTTTCATAAATAACAGGGAACAACCCTGCATCAAAAAGAAAACGAAAGATTTTTTGAAGAAAATATAGAAGTTATAAACCATTGTTCTATTGAGTTAAGTAACTCCTATATTTAATATTTTTTTATAATTCACAGAATACAAATTCCTTTCAGTTTTACTAGTTATTTTTGTTGAGATTTCTTTTCCTTTTCCACCTGTTCAGTATCCAAGTGCATTTCATCCTTGAGATCATAGCAAGCCTTCAACTTGATCGTGTCCAGAAAATCCAGCCATTCTCCGAGATCATCACTTTTCTCCGCCTTGGGTTGTTTTGGCTTCATTTCAATGACAGAATCTTTCGATTCCCGGGGAGTCACACAAAACGCCAGCAGAAGATTGCGACGGCTGAAGCGGATCAAATAGAATGGAGCTCCCTTGCTGGGAAATGAGCTGATGAGCAAATCTTTGACACTTGATTCTTGTATTTCGGTCTGATTCTGTTTCCTGGAAGCTTTCGACCTATTCACGTAGTCCTTTAGCACCCGTTCAAAGTCCCAAATGGTCAGCTGGCAATCCTGTCCACCGACCACCAGTAGATTGTTATCCAAAGCAATTTCCATGGTGTTAATAGACGACTTGTGATGGTCCAGAAAACGAATTAAAGTCTCGTTGGCCGTGTCCCAAATCATGATGAGCTTGTCATCGGCACCGGAAACCAAATAACGACCACAAATGGAGTAGGTCAAGGCGGTTATCCTTCCTCGGTGACCATTAAAAATGCGCACTTGAAGACCCCTAATCACATCCCAAATTCTCACCGTCGTATCGGCAGATCCACTGGCCAAATAGTGACGATTTGGATGGAATATACACACTGCCAGCTCAGCTAGGTGTCCTTGTAGAATTCGAGCGGGCTTCCTGTTATCCTGCACCCAAACTCTGGCCGTACAATCATCCGAGGCGGTGGCGAAATAGTAGCCCATTGGTGCGTAGACCACAAAGCAAACGGGGGATAAGTGACCGGGATATATGACCACACAACTCCAGGATAAAAGGCACCACAGGCGAACGGTGAAATCCTCCGAACAGCTGAGCAGAAAGCGATCCTCAGGGTTAAAGGAGATACCATAAACGTGTCCCTGATGACCGTGAAGAGTTCGCCTCGTGAATTTCTTGGTGGGATCCAGCATTCCCTTATCAATGCCAGCCATTCCAGTGTCCAGAACCTTGAGCCAATTGGCCGACTTTAATTGTACCAACTTCGAGGGTTTCAGGGAGAAGATGTGAATGCTAGAGGATACAGTTCCCAGGGCCAACATGCTGATATTCTCCGAAAAGGAGGCACATAACACCACCTCATCGCAATGAGGAGCTGTATAAAGATATGTCGACGGCAGGTTCTCCCGATCCAATCGCATTCGATACTGTTCATCGTTCTTCCGGTGCAGTAAATCAATTCGCTTGGGATTCGGATTAAACATCCTATCTCCCGGGGGCAAGTGTAGATTCTTGTGAGTCTGCGGTTCGTTCTTCTTCCTTCGACGTTTTTGAAGAAAAGGACGTGTGGTAAAGTCTTTTTTATGCAAGGGTTCCGGGGCTCCGTAATAAATGGGTTCCAATACAGGTTTTCCTATTCCAAAACGCTGCTGGGGCGGCTCCTTCTCACTGTAGCTTTGAATATTAAAGTGGGCGGCAAGCTTTTCCTGCTGACCCTTGGGCCATTCCTCCATATAATAGAGAAACTGACGATAGGCCTCGTCGGACATTTGAGTCTTGAGTTTCTCGTGACCAGCCAGCAATTTTCTCGCCTTGTTTGGAACTTCTTCGGGTCGGCAAATATCCCTGAGCTTCATTATCCTGGACACATAGGAGTCATCCAGTTGGTCCTGAAATCGAACCAGAAACATTCTGGCCTTCTGAGCCTTATCGCTGGCCATCATTTGCAGATATGTCAGGGCCATCAGGGGATAGATCAGTAAATATATCTCGTATCTGTGCTGACTGGGAGCCAATCGGACGATCTTCACCAGTTGCTTGACAGCCAGTTCGTATTCCAGGAAAACGGAATCCTCTTTGATGACCAGCACGCTGAAATTCTCCCTGCTTTCCGCAAACTGAGCACTGTCTTCGTAGAAATCCGAACCATCGCGGAGCTTGGCCTGATCTTTGGTGGGATCCTCCAGCTCGGAATCACTTCGATGTTCTAGGGAACCCAAACTCTTTTCTGGTTTCTTCTCGTCTTCCTCCTCCTTTAAAATAGCCAAGAGTTCTTCTTGCGAAATTTCACCTCTGTCCACGGGCAGCGAGGACATCTCCTCCCAGTATGATAGCTTACTCGGTTCAGGTTGGTATTCTAAATCAGTTGGTGTATCTTCATCGCTTTCAGTCGAGCTAAATTCGCAGCTCAAGTCAAAATTGGAGCTACAGTCACTGTCCCACTGGTATTCCTCCTCCTCAATGGGACTCAAGCTTGTTTTATCCAAAATCGAATCGGTTTTCTTCTCCTCATTTGGCTTTTCTATTTCTCTAAGGTTTGTATTAGGGAATTAGGTAGTGTTTTTAACTTATAACCATAAACTTACATTTTTTCTTGAAATATTTCAGGTTCTTTGTGAGTCGGAACCATTGTAAATTGACTGGTTTCTTCATCATATAATGGCATCGAAGGCATGGGACCACTATAAATAGGCACTGAAGTTTTTTCGTCATTGAGCTTTGGCTTGGATTCTTCAGAGCTTAAAAAAAAGAAAAACCTACATATCTTCTGGAGATTACAGAAAGCCTTATATAAATATATCCCACCTCTTATCCAATGAAAATAGATTAACATTCTTTATGTTTTCCATCCAACCAGAGGGTGAACCTGATAATAATCATGGTCAAATGATTCTACATTTTTTGTAAGGACCTACCATCTGAGTTGGAGTCATCCGAATCACTGGTTTTATCTGATTCTGAGCTGGATTTTTCACTCTTACTATCATCCGCATCTCCATCATCGTCGGATTCTCCGACCTTAAGGCCCATGTGATCTTCAAATTCTTTCAAAAACCATTTGTTCATATTCATTTTGTTGGATTGGCTTTTGGGCTGGTTGGCTTTTTCTTCCTCATGTTGTTCCACACATTTAATTAATTTCCTTTTTATCTCATCCTCCTCATCAGAATCTTGAACGTATATGGTCTCCATTTCGCCATGGTCATCTGCTTCTTGAAAAGCATCATCAAATGGAAATCTCACTTTTGGCGTTTCTTCTTTTTTAACCCAATTCGGGATCTGTTAATGCATTTGTGGTTTAAAGGTAGTAAAAAGATGCATTATGCTGTCCCACTCACTTCATTGGTTTTCCGATTTTGATCCATGGTTTTAGTACCAATTCAATATTTTAATACATCAAATAAGTTTCCCAGTAATTAGGGAAAATTTTTCTTGCCCTTGTCAAGTTTCCAATTTGACAGCTCAAAATTATGTGGCTGCATTCCTTATAACTATTTTTTTCCAAATATACATAAAATTCTTAAAACCAGTACCAACATAGTTAGGGGTATTCCATTAACTATTTTTAGGTCCTAAAATATTCGACGGCTCAAAAAATAAAATTATTGTGAACTTTTAACGATTCAGTAACTGATTAGTAAAATAATGTCTAAATCGTCTAAAAAACAAAAAATGTTAAATATTAGATATTGGAATTTAATATTAGATAACCTACAATTAATACCAAAAAAGACTGTTTTTTTAAACACTACATTCTACCCAAAAAATAAGAGATTATGTGGCATTGCCAGCTCAACTTTTGCGGTTGGTTTTTTATTTTCCAATATTTTTTCCCTTCGCCGTTTTCCACTTTTTTCACCAATTTTTTCCCGACATGACGCGACGACGACCGCTGATCTGAAACAAAATGCTGGCGCAGCATCACATCACATGAGGGCGCTAGAATCCAGGGTGGCCTGAAAAACGGAGGGGTGGCGAAGGTGAGGGGACGGGTCCGTAGGTAGGAAAAAAATTAATTTGCATACCCAATATTCAACGGATTTGCTGCTGTGGCGAGGCTTACCATGCCACTGTCCATTAGAGGAAACTCTCTTTTTATTCAAGGTACCCTCTATAAAGTTTTAACGATTTTGAGTTGAGAATCAGCGCCTAAAATCTGATTATTTTGGTACAGAAATGTATAGGTTGGTTATAGTACAATATTTATTTTAACCAGAAATTGTATAGTTCATAAATATTGTGTCGAAGTTTTATCTTTAGCTCATTAGCCACAATTGGTGGAAACTATTTTTTACAATCAAGATTTTTGAAGAATTTTCTAGGGTAGTTGATAGTCGACTCCCACAAATGTCCTTGTATCTTGATCTCTCTTTTTTCCACAGCTCACTTGTTAGTGGAATTGTGCGAGTATGCTGGCGAACCAAACCCGCGGATGCGTTTGGAATTCTTCGGTAGTTCGGGGGGCAATATGTCGGTCCTGGCAACTCACTTTGCAGGGCACAAAAATAAGCGAGAAGAAGCGAGTAAAAAATGAATATACGAAAAACAGGCGACAGGACAACCCGCAGCAGAAGCAGAAAATGTAGCTGCATATTGTTTTGTAATTTCCAGCATGATTTATGGCGCTTGGGAAAGCACTTTAAGTGCTTTAAGAACTTTAAAAACTAACAATATTGCTATCTATGTGTGTCAATAATCAAGGGCCTCAGTTAGATGAACAACGAACAATGGCAAACAAAGCCTCATTATGGGCAACAACAATTGCCAAATCACTTGATATGTAATGCTGGCCATAAATAAATCACACTGCAGCATAATCCATTGTAAAGTGTCGAAAAACTGCAATTGAAATGCAAATCAATGCAAATCGATACTTGAATCATCACCAGCCGCTGCAGAATCAGAATCCGAATACGAATCAGAAACTTGAACATGAATGATTCATGCAACGCACGCGAACATTCAAATGCAAATGCCAGAATGCAAAAACCGAAATGCAAAAATTATCCAAAAATGCAAATGTGCGAGTGCGAAAAACCCGCTGTGAGGGCAACAATCAAATCGAAATAAATGCACCACACAAAACCCAAACTGCAACAAAGCCAAAAATAAACACACAGAGCAAACAATGCAGCTTGCGGATTTTCGCACTTCCGGTTAACTGTTGCTAATTTGATTAGGGAATTTTCCAAGGGGGCGGGGGTCAGCACAATACGGGGCGTGGCCACAAGCGAAAAGGCCATAAACATTTTTAGCTGCTGCTGATTTTGCTTTGGCCTGCCAACTTATGCAAATTATCCTGTGTGATTTATGCCCAGAATTTTCTCGCCTTCCAGCAGAAACTTTGCTCCTTGGGGTGCTGCTGTAAATTGAATTTTACAAAATACGGTAGACGGTCGATTGGGAAAAATATTCACTGCAAAATTATATTTTAGAGCGCTTAAATATCATACTCAAAAAAAACATGCTCAGAAAAAAAAACCTTATAAAAATTTTAATTTTCGGAAAAAAACCTTTTTCACTTTTTCTAACTTAAGTAAATGATTTTTATGTTATAAACAATTTTAATTGTATTTTTTGCCTAGTACTCAACCGAACAAAAAGTCGTCCAAAACAAAAACTTCATATGAAACAAAATTTTTTGACGTTGCTTTTCATATGAATTTTTTTTGTTTTGGACGACTTTTTGTTGGGTTGAGTACTAGCCCTTAAAGTAAAATTGTTCACAGATTTAAAAAATTATATAATTCAAAAGTCAGAAACCTTGATTTATTTTTTAAGAATTTTGAACATTTTGATGATCTAAGATTATTTTCTGGTGCCGAAATTTATTTCAAAGACATCTACAGTATTTTAAAAATACTTTCACACGCAACCCAAGAATGCTGGGATTGCTCTTTTGAGGTCCCGTTTCTCATATTCAAATTTGTATGTTATGCGCATGTATATATTCAATTCAATCATATCCTGTCATGTTGCCACCAGGAAACTGGTTCTTGTGCCATTGAGCAAAGCACTTTTTACCTTTCCTGTCTCGCATTGTTCGTCAACTGAACTTGTCCGTGTCGATTGTCATGCTAATTGAGGCAAAAAGGATTCCCAGGACTCGAGACACGCCAGGTAGAAGAAGTAGAGGAGACTGCCTAAGAAACTTAGTTCCTTCGCAGACATTGCCGCGTAAAGTGCTTGAAGGAAGGCAGTCGTTAAATAAACCATAAAACAAGCAGTCAGCCATGGAAAACAAATAAAGCCCACCCTCCCAAATAAGCCGGAATGAAACCAAGGAGAGAAAAAGGAAAATGTCCCCGACTGCCGGGAAACCACAAGCATGACAAACATTAACACGGCCTCTGACGCAATTTAACACCAATTACAATATCCGTTACATCTAATTATTGTAAGCGGCCCACGGGCCCACAAGGAAGCCACTGGGCAGCCGTCTTGCCGACTAAATTAAAGAAAAACACCGCTGCCAGGACATGGGTGGCGCCATTTGCGGTTGCCAGGACATTAACAATGGAAACTCCCGTTCGGCAGGAGGGAAAAACAGAGAAAGCGGAGCAGCAAATGGCGGCTATAAAACAACAGAGAACAGAACCCATGAAATATGAGCAGGAAGCTCAAGAAAAACACACAACTGTGGGTGGCTGGGGCGAGCATTTCTTAATTTCCAACAATTTACGCTGAAAGCTTTCAGCGCTCAAATGACGCACAGACGGCCGGCTGCAGGACTCCAGTGTCCTGTTCCTTCCATTCTCCCAACTGTTTTTTTTATCTCGCTTTTTTTTGTCCTGGCTCTGTCCCTGGCCAAGGCGACGATGATGATCTAACGCCATTATTTCCCCGCCAAACGACAGGCAGTTGTTAATGGGGCTTACCACTTAAGCGCGACGGCATAAAATAAACACGCGGTCTGCCGTTGCCACGCCCCCCGCCCAACTTCGGATGTCCTGGCAAATTAATTAACATGACGCCCAGTCGCTGGCAGGATTTTCCACACTCGAAATAATGAGGTATGTAGAAAATCTTGTGACAAAACTGGGGTAAATTAATAAAATTCCATGAAAAAAATGAACAAACAATTTTAAAATATATAAAATAATTATTAAATGTATGTATGTATATAATACCGATGTTAAATAAAAATTATTTTTATTAAAAAATACTTTTCAAAAGATGTGAAGAAAATTTAAAGTTATTGCGACTACAACGAAAATTTAAAATTAATTTATGAACAGTCTGTGGGTATTTTAAACAATCCAAAATTAATCTCACTGATTATAACATAATAAATGTTGATTATATCCTAAGACATTTAAATTTCTTCAAAAATTCCAGATAAAATATTCAGTATAATATATAAACGATGATTAGTCAAATAAAACATTTTTGAAAATATTTAAGTTTACAAACAAAATACTGTGAAATTAAATATGAGCTCACTTTTCCTAGTGCAGCTTTTCGCTGTTTTTCTTCCTTTTCTCTTTTGCTGTTTTTGTCTTTTAGCTTGTTTTTTCTTCAGCTTAATTGTGGACCATCGTCTTCAGTCCTTCAGGGTGTCCTGTCCCCCCAACAAAAATATTGCGAGTATTGGGGAGTCGCCCACCGGCAGTTTAACAATTAAGAAACGTTTAAAGTTCGGTGAATTTGGGGCGCGGCTTTCCTTTGATTACAAGCCACGAACGGCAGCAGCAACAGGATCTTGTGAGGTGGGGGGAGCCGGTGAGTCCTTGGCAGGACATTCGACATACGCGGCACGTTGCCTGCATCCGTTTGACACCTTTTGTCGGGCCCAAAATGGCACAGGAAATGAGCTGGCCCGTACGTGACTTGTTTTCGTTGTTGCCAGCAAATTGTAAATGGGAAATGTAAAATATTCGACTGCTCAAGCCCGATTGTTTGGCCGCTCGAAAGGGTCACGAAGGTCCGGGGACCATCTTTAAGCTGACCCCAAGTCGAGCGCCTGTTTAACATTCCAAATTTGTGCACTCGCTCAATTTCCTTCCATTCCCCAAAATGTAATTACCCAAAAAGGGGGCGGCTACGAAATCTTTTCGATTTGACACGAATTTCTCGGCCCAACTCCGGCCGGAATAATTAGTGTCCATTGAAGGGGCGCCACGGGTGCTACGTGCCAAACAAAACGCCCTGCGGCAAGGACGAAGACTCCTTGGAGGACTGTCCTCGCCGACGTCCTGGCATAATTGCAATTAAAATGTTCGCCGGGAAGTGCAAACACTCGGAGGCAATTGCCGTGCACAGAAATAATAACAGGCAGATTGCGCAAATTAAAATATAATTAGAGACAAACACAGACGCCAAGTTGGGGAGGTGGGGAAATGGTCTTAAGAATGGGCAAGCACGTTAGTGTAATTAGAGAAATTAGTCTAAAGTAGGTTTTTAATATCAAAAATTTACAAATCATGCACGTCTCATTTAGGATATATCCTATATATATGATAAAAAAACTGGCTATTAAATTGTAAATGTAATTATTCCCAAAGAATTTATGATAAAGTTTTTTAATTTTTTTGTTGTTATCCTTTAAAAAAAATATTTTTTTAGATTGTTTAGAGGCAAATCAAATTTCATTTAAGCTAATATATAATAATATTTAATATTTAATATATTTAATATTGATAGTGATGCTATAATTTTTTAAGTTTTACATTTATGTACATCTAAAAACTAACCCCTTCCGATTCAAAAAATTGCAGTGTATACAGTGGCGCCCCCTGGCGTGCGGTGGCCGGGAAAGGCCACGCACTTTCCACTGGAAGAAGTTCTGTGTTCGACTGGAAATTAGCGTGAGACAGCCCACCTTTTTAATTTTTTTTTCCTTTGAGGGTTGAACGAGTAAGCGAGACAGAGACACTCAGGGTATGTGTGTGTGTGTGAGAGAGAGAGAAAGAGATACTATATTGGAGGAGAGTACAAATACCTGGCAGCTCCTAACTAACGAGCAAGTAATTTTGTGGGCCAACTGACCTGCCCGGCAGCGTCTTTAATGTTTCCATGGCTACTTTAAGCCTCCGTTGTCTTGGCCTTTTGCCCATATTAAGTATACGCCGTGATGGTGCGGACGTAAGTGAGGGTGGCGCTTTCGTTTACTTTTCAGGGGGTAGGCCTGTGAGGGTCGTTTTTTTTTTTTGGCCACACCTTCCATTCTCGCAGGGGTGACTAAACAGGGAATATAACTTTTTTTCTGCGTGCGCCGAGCGTTCGCTTTTACTTTTGTTTGCCCGGATTTTCGATCGAAAAAAATATATATGGAATAAACGAATAAATGAAATAAAAGCGAAATGAGGAAGAACGAAATTTGTTTCGCTGCCGCTTTATGAAATGTCAAAACTTCAAAGCGAACTCAACTTAAATGCAAGAAAATTAGAAAATATTCACTTGAGTGCGTATGCGCCGTCGTCGCTGGCATCCTCATCCTGTTTTGCTGATTTCGTGCCCATTGTCCTGGCGTCCTTGCTGTTGTTTTTGTTTGCGATGCTGCTGCTGTTTGAACTGTTGTTGATAGCCTTTATTAGTTGTTGGCCCAAAGCCTAGGCGCTTACGCATTTTCCCCCTCACTTTCACTTCCTGTCCCGAAATTTCCACGTCAGGACTCGTGCGCTCTGCAAATAGATATAATTTTGAGCTGCCCCCGCTGCCGCACTCGTTTTCCTTGTTTTTCCTCTTGGATTTCACTTTTTTTCCGCCAGCAAATTTTATTAAAAAATTTCATATTAAATCAATTGCGTGGAGATTTTCTTCTTATATTGTGTTCTTCTGGTCGGGGCGTCAGATGTGCTCATGCATAAAGTCGTTTGAGTGGGAGTCGCTATGATGGGTATGGAATAAATTTAGATAGATTTTTGGGTAAATCGATGAGGAGAATAAGTAACCATAAGATAATACCATATATCATAAAATTTTTGCTTATATGCAAGAAAAATAATAAAATAAATAAATAAATATCAAATTATATGATATAAATGTTTCTCGACTTAATAATTAATTTAAATATAAAATGCATTTAATTACGTATTCAAAGGCTTCCTTGAGTGTTTAATTACCGAGAATCGATTTTTTTTTTGCTAAATGCCTCTATTAAATCGTCAATATTTTGACATTAAATGTCTACAAGGCGAGAGTATAAAAGCGGGTTTTCCATGCCGTTGGAAAACACTTTTCCTTTAAGATTGTTTCCAAGAAGTTGGCAGTGAAAATGGCGAAAGTCGAGCCTGTAGAACGATATCGTAAAGTCATTCGTATGATCCGTTTTTGTGTGGGATTCTGCGGAAATGATGTGGCCGATCCGAATTTTCGAATGTGGTGGCTCACCTACACTGTAATTGGAGCCATTGGCTTCTTTTTCGCCTGCACAGGCTATACCATTTACGTGGGCGTGGTCATCAACGGAGATCTCACTGTGATCCTGCAGGCATTTGCAATGGTGGGATCGGCAATTCAGGGATTAACCAAACTATTGGTCACCGCCAATATGGCTCCTCAGATGCGAGAAATTCAGAATACATTCGACGAAATCTACCAGTAAATTTAATGTTTAATATTTAATTATAATATTTTATTTCATTATATTTTATTTTACTTCCCAGGGAATACGGCGCTAAGGGCGGTGAATATGCTAAATGCCTGGAGCAAAGAATCCGTACCACTTGGCAACTGATCATTGGCTTTATGCTCGTCTACATTATTCTCCTGGGTCTCATAATATCATTTCCAATCTATTACTTGGTGATTTTGCACCAGAAGGTGTTGGTCATGCAATTCCTGATGCCGCTACTTGATCACACCACCGATGGAGGTCATCTGTTGCTGACCGCTGTCCACATTGCACTAATTACATTTGGTGGATTTGGTAACTACGGCGGGGATATGTACCTATTTCTTTTCGTCACCCACGTTCCTTTGATTAAGGACATATTCTGCGTAAAGCTGAAGGAATTCAACGAGGTGGTTGTTAATGGGAATGAGTTCCCGAAAATGAGGTCAATGCTCTGTGATCTCTTGACATGGCATCAGTTGTATTCGAGGTGAGAGAAATATCATTGTATTTTGGGTGGTTTACTAACATTTCGACTTTCTTAATTTCCGTTTCAGCATTCTTCAAACCACCAAGAAAATCTATAGCATCGTGCTATTTGTTCAGCTTTCCACAACTTGCGTGGGACTTTTGTGCACCATTTCTTGCATATTTATCAAAGCCTGGCCAGCAGCTCCTCTTTATCTATTATTCGCCGCCATAACTCTATATACTTTCTGCGGCCTGGGAACTTTGGTGGAAAATGCTGTAACTAAATCGGTTTTCATTTAAAAAACAACAATTAATTTATGCCTTTTAGAACGAGGATTTTCTGAGTGTGATCTACACAAACTGTCTGTGGTACGAGCTGCCCGTAAAGGAGGAGAAGCTAATTATCCTGATGTTAGCCAAGGCCCAAAAGGAGGTTTGCCTCACCGCCGCCGATATGGCGCCTTTGTCAATGAACACAGCCCTCCAGTTGACCAAGGGAATTTATAGCTTCAGCATGATGTTAATGAACTACTTGGGAAAGGATAAATAAGGAGTTAACTTACATATAAGATATATTGCACATTGTATTGTAGTGGAAAAATATAAATTTAATAAATCAAACTTTAATAATTACATTTTAGTAAATTTTATTTATTTTTTCGAGGAAAATTTGGATTGTGAATTTATGGATAAAAACCGGAATTCTTCGATGGCTTTTTTTCGAAATTCTCCAGCTAATTCGAATGTTTGAATTGATTGGGTATTATGTTACGAACTTAACGGGGTTACATTTCATTTTTGGAAACTTTGTTGCACTGTTTTGTCCAAAATTCAAATTTGTTTAAAGAACATTATTCTCTTCATTCTACGAAGATCCCAATCCATTCCCGGACTTTCGGTGGTAAATATAATGCTCCTGAATATAAAACGGTGCAACTTTCAAAGGCCATTTACTCTGTTCTAATGCTGCTGATGAGCGGATAGGGGGAATGAAATTGGGTGGGGAAAAAAGCTGATTAATTTTTGCTCTTTGTCTAATGAACTTGCCGCAAAAGAATTTAATAAACAGACTCACACTTTATGGGCCCACAAAAAATGATGTCTGCCAGGCCACAGACCATGAAAAATAGTAAAACCAAAAAAAAAATGCCTGAGAAAGGAAAAACCCAGGCGATGCAAATGAGGGAAAAGTATGAAAAAGCATCGCTGGTAAGTTGTAAAAATTGTCTTTTAATGCCGCGCAAATCCAGCAGATTGCCACGTAGTGCTAATAAAATAAAGTTATGTCCGGGCATAAAGAACAAAAAGCCCGCGCACCGCTGAAACGCACCCGAAATAGTGTACTTCGGTACGAAAAAAATAAAAATCCACCGAAATCCACAAAAAATGGCGTTGAAAATTGAGTGCGCGGGCGCAAGGCGAAGGCCAAGATGGATGATGAGGCGGCGAGAGGGGGCGGCGAGGTCGGTAAACGCATCATTAATCAAATGTCCGAAGCGTAAGCACCGTTATTCATCATTGCTTATGGATAAGGTGCTTCAGCGCCCCGTCCTCCCACTCGAAAGCCCACCTCATCCCCAGGCGGAAGCCCCTCAAGAAAGTCCGCGTGAGTTGCCATATTCCTTCGACTGTTCTTCGTTGGTAATGAGAAATTCTTTTTGAAGGATTTTCAAAAATCAAGAAACAAATGGAGAGTATTGTGAGTTGATAAATAAATTGGGTTAAAAAAATATTAATGTCAAATTAATTTTTAAATTAAAAATATACATGGATTTTTAAAAAATCAAGAATCAAATGAAGACTATTTCCGAGTTGATAAATAAATTGGTTTAAAAAATGTTATTTAAATTGTTAAGACAACAAATTTTACTTCAAAAGTAAAACATTTAGACAAATGGCCTCGATGTATTTAGTAAACTCTTAACAAAAATCAAATATATTAAAAAAAAATTTAGCTTACTAAAAATATTTTTAACTATTGATCTTAGAATTTGTTTATATAATTGAATTAAAAAATGCAAAAAGTTAATAATAATATTAATGTAAAAAAGATATAAAAAAATCCTTCTTTCAGACTTTCAAAAAAAAGTTCAGTTTGTATAGCAGTCGTGGTGGCTCACAAAATTATATTTCCAAAAATGACACTCACATTTTTTCGTAATTTCTTTAGACTTTGTAGACCTCTGGCAAACTCAAACACACGTGGCCGAAGCTCAAGAAAATCCCCCAAAAAGTGAACTCTAGTCTAGAGCTCCCCCACCATCCGCCGTTTTATTTTTTATACCCCACCCTAATCACTTTCTCGACCACCCTAATGGCGCATATCAATTTGGCTCAGCCACGTGCTGATGATTTCTTTCCTTTCTTTTTCTCCAATTTTTTTTTTGTATTTACTTTACTTATTTTTTTCTACAGAAAATGTTTGCCTATATTTTGAAGAGCTTGTAGTGTATATTATTGCGGCCTGAAAGTGAATTTGGTGGGTTCTTTTCGGTGGAACATCATAAATCAGGCTTACATTGCACAGAATCATCAAACAGGCGACAACTTTTCACAGGCTAGGCGGTCAGAGAACGGGGAACAGGAACTGCTAATGGAGTTTTTACATTAGAGATTGCTTCCCGTCGCCCAGAATGTTGTTTTTATCTGGGCAACAACATCGAGATGCTGCTCTAACACCCCTTCAAGTGTCAGTTACATATTGTATGGACAACAAAACGCTTCACTTTCCATCACGGCCAGTAACAACCCGAAAAAAAACACACGAAAAAAGGTTAGAACCAAAAAATTTGCATACACAGCAGCTGAAACAGGATGCGTCCTTTTTTTGCTGTTGTTGTGGTTGTCTGTCCAGGAAGTGTGCACATTGAAAGGTTTTCATTTTTTTCACTGCGCGTCGGCAGCTTTTTTTCTACTTTTTGGTGGAAAACGAAAAAATAACTCGCAGTCAAAGTAAAAATGTTAGCTATTAATTGGCCGAGACATAGGAACAAAATGCGAGAGGGATGCTGGAAATGACGAGGCAGCTGGGGTGAAAATCTCCTAAATTAAACAGAAATTATATGCAAATTCGAAGCGAGTTTTCCATTAACCCTTCGACGGCAGGAAAATCATATTTGGTTACATTTCCACAGCACGTCGACGTGTTTAAGTACGCATCATTTGGCCGCTTGGCTGTAATTTAATTGGTTTGGCTTGCGGGGCAGGTATCCTTCGAAAGGTCCTGGCAATGAGGCAACTAATTTATGCCATTGCCCCCGAAGGGTTGAGCGACTTTGTTGCACGTGCGCCGCCGTCGAGGAGTTGCCTTATTAATTATTATTCTAATTAATAAGACGCAGATGGAAAAGAAGGAAGAGGTAAGAAATGAAAATAAAAAAACACATAATAATAAAGAGAAAAACACGGATGCCTGGCAATTTGCATATGAGTGACACAACAGGACATTTGCTTCCTGTCACGCAGCCGGGCGAAGAGGACACAAAAGAGGCGACAGGCACGTTCAAAAAGGATGCAGGATCGAGGGGTGGGCACTTTTTTTCCATTCCAGCCTCTCCAGAAATCTCCAGCAAATCTCATGCATAATGCAAGCGAAAAGGCCCGTGAGAAACTCCCAGGCCGAAAATTATAGGATCCTCTTCCCCGCAGCGGCTGCTTTTTAAGACTTTTTCTGATTCCGAATTTTTTATAGACTAGTGGACTATTATCAACAGGTTTGAGTTCTCCGCAAATCAATCAGTTGACGCCCAAACAATTTGCCAAATCGATAAACCCCTACTCGCATATCCTGTAATCCCCACCCCTTAGACGATCTACCCCTGATCGATTTGCAAGAGATTTGCCAAATTGGCAGAGTCAAATGTCAAAGCAATTAAGTCGCAAAATCGAATCGATTTTCAGGGGTCGCAAACTCCCCTTTTGTCACTGGCATTATCATTGTCATGTTTGCTAATTCCCTTTGTTGTTGGCCGAGTGTTTGCCATTTCACTTTCACCTTTCGCTTTGTGTGCCAATCTCTTTCTTTCTCTCTCCCGGGGTCGAGGGTTAAAAGTATGCCAATTCTCGCCGGCTCTGCTAATTATGAGGTGAAGTTATGACAGCCCGGATTACAAAAGTAAACAGGCCACTTGAATGGGTCTTGATTACTTTCTCGCTTTCTTCTAATGACTTTTGATTAATTGGGGTTGTGGTCTGGGCTTTTTCATAATAATCCGCCACTTGGTAGGAAAATTTTTATAAAAAACTCCTTGCAAAGAAATAAGAAGCTGTATATTTATTTAAATATTTAGAATACAAATTATTTAAAATTTTTGAACTCAATAATTTTTAATTTAATATAAGTTTCCCTTTAAAAAAACAATTTTTTACCCCAAGAAACTTTTAAACTTTATAAGTAACTTTCCGCATTAAATGATCTTTTGTTAAATATTCTTTTGGATTTTACCAATGGTTTCAGGTTATTTTATTTATTTATACTCGAGTCCGCTTCACATTTCTCCTTGTGATTGTATTTCATTGTGCTTCCAAGGAATCTCTCTTTAACTTGGACTTCAACTGGCGGCGGCCTTTGTTTTCGGCTCGTTTCAATGAAATTCATAAAAACAATTTCTTTTATGGCAACTCCAGGACCCCCAACCCCAGTCGCCAACGTGCGTTGCTGGGGCCCAGGCTCAACGAAATTGGTTTTTAAAAATATTTCACATTTCAATCTCCCCACTCGCCAGGACCGCCTCACTTTTCCCTCTACCACTAGTAAGTATCTCTCTGTGGGCCACCTTGGCCGGAAAAACTTGTAATAAAAGCCAGTGTCCCGCCCCCAATGGGCGTTGGATTTATGGAGCGGAGTTTGGGGGAAAGGCCACAAGCCACAACAGTTGGCCGAGCCAAACGCACCGCACATTGTTGGCTTTTTTACTGTCCCCACAAATAACAATCAAAATATAAAATATCCCACCCAACCCCCTCCCTACTAACGGTTACCACTGGGGATAAGATTTTGCCTGGGGAAATTGCCGCGAGTCCTGTGGGCTCTGTGGAAATTACAGGTGCCTAATGCAAATTTGTGTGGCATATTTCCAGCTGAAAAATAATATTCGCTTTTCGCTGCGTTTGCTGAAAAATCTTCCATTATTTCTTCTCTTTTTTGCCAGGTTTTCGGATTTTGGATTTGGATTTTGATTTTGAGCCTTTCCGTTCCGTTCCCTTTTGGCTTGATTGTCATCATTGAGGCTGAAAAACAGATTTGCCTCCAATCAACGTGGCACTTAATTTCGTTTATTTGATTGGATTTGTGTTTACATGGCTGCCCCTGTGAAAAGTGCGAGGGGGATGGGCGGTGGGTGGTTTCGCCAGGCCAGACATGTGGGTGGGCGGGCTGTTAGAGGACCGAAATTCGTTGCAAATTAGAAAATCAAATCACTTTTGGCCGGACTCACACGCCGACGGCAAAAAAGGGAGGAGAAAACTGAAAAGAACACAAATTAAATCGACATTTTCGCCACCCTCAATAAAGCCCAACAACCAAAAAAAATATGCAAAAAAAATCTACAGGAGAGTAAAAAAAACATG